GGCAGCAGCCCATGATGCCATTATCGTCAGCAGCTGAAACAAGCTTGGACATAACCATACGAGGAGGGGGAGAAAAAATAAAAACCCAAACCAAATGTGGGAGGAAAGCAAGAGGGAGGAGTGACTGTTTTGAATTAAGTTCGTTTTGTTTCGTTTTGTTTTGTTTTGTTTCCTCCCCCCCCCCCCCCCCCCATACAGAAAGCTCCGTTCACGGCCAAGGTTTCCAGGTGTGAGGGATGAGCCCGTGAAAGCAGATTCTGTGCTTTTCAAACCAAAAGCAAGAACTCGTAAGAGAAAGAGGAAAGCAAAAGTGACTGCAGGAAGGCAATTCAACCAAACCAGCTCGAGCTTCCCGAGACAAAGCGGGCACCGACCATGAAAAACGTCCTTGAATGGAACCTCCCGTGAAGGAGGCAAAGGAGGAGAAGCCAACCTTGTGTTCTCAATTCATCTCCATATTATGCCTTGTAAAGCATTTCTGAACAATAAACAATATAGGCTAGAAAAAAAAAAAAACCTGAGTTGCAGGAGTCTCTCACAAAATAGCAAAAGTTGGCTGGGCTGGGTCTGGCTGGGGCAGAGTTAATTCCCCTCCCAGTGGCTGGCATGGGGCTGTGGTTTGGATTTGTGCTGAACACAGGGATGATAATGGAGATGTTTTTGTTGTTGCTGAGCAGTGATCACAGAGAGCCAAAGCCTTTTCTGCTTTTCATACTGGGGGTGCATGGGAGGTTGGGAGGAGACAGAGCCAGGACAGATGGCCCAAACTGACCCAAGGGATGTTCCTGACCACATGAAATGGTGCTCAGTGTATTGGGGGGGCGGGGAAGAAGAACTCAGGGGGGTATGTTTGGAGTGATGGTGTTTGTCTTCCCAAGCCACCATCGCACGTGATGCCCTCCTGGGGGTGGCTGAACACCTGCCTGCCCGTGGGAAGCAGGGAATGGATTCCTGGTTTTGCTTTGCTCACATGCGTGGCCTTTGCTTTCCATGTTAAACCGTCTTTATCTCAACCCATCAGTTTTTCAGCTTTTCCCCTTCTGACTCCCTCCCTGGTCCTGCTGGTGGGGGTGTGAGGGGCTGGGGGGCTGGATGGGGCTGAACCACGACATCGGCTGAAAACTCAGGATGCAGGAATGTTCCCTCTCCATGGGAGAGTTCTCACCAAACCACCACACGAGGGCGGTGAGGACTTGCAAAAGGAGTCCGTGTACCAGGACTAAACCCGCCCAAGAGCAGATCCAGGCGGAAAGCATCGCTGCCCTCAAAGAAACTACGTGAGGACAGAAAGGTTTGGCTGACCTTCCCCTTTGATGTGCAAACTCCTATTTGCCCCACACTCCATAGGCAGCACGGACTCCTTCTCGGTTATATGTACTAATAAATTTATTTACTCTCCCAGAACCCAGCTGCACAACTGGAAACATCCAGCAGAAACAGAGCTCACAAAAGTGCCTCGTTGTTCACACCTCGGGCTGCCCCACCTGGGAGGCGACTCCCAGTGCCCTCCCACTCCAATAATTCCATGATTCCACCTCTTCCTTGGGCTTTTCTCTTTCCACAACGTGCCGTGGGGCTGCTGACAATGGGAATCCTACAGCCAGGAGCACTGGAAAGCTGCTCAGTGGTGTGGGTATAATGATGGACTCAGAAAGGCAGAGTGTGACTCCAGATGCCTTTTGGTGGGGAACTGCTCTGCTCTTCCCAGTCTTCTCCACTACCTGAAAAGAGGGGATGATGTAACTTTGCTCTAATATCACCTAAAATCTTCGAATGGAGTTCTGAGCAACCTGGGCTAGTGTGGAAGGTGTCCCTGCCCCTGGAAAGGGGTGGAATGAGATGATCTTTAAGGTCCCTTCCAACCCAAACCACTCTGAGATTCTGTTATCTACCACTCAGGTGTCTTACTGGTATAACAGGGTGATCCTAAGGCTCTGGTAAGGTTAAAGAATTTCCTCTGGCCTGAAATGAAGCAGTGCCTGCCCTAACTCCTTCAGACTGCAGGTGGAGATCTGCCCAGACACCTTGTCCTCACAGCCCAGGTGTGCTGATGCCACAGGAGAGTCTCTACCACAGAGAGACCTGGACTTGTCTGCAAACACCACCTTCTCCCTCCTCAGAGAAGTCACTGTTTCATCCCCACTAGGGCAGCCCACGTGGCTGCTGTGGGCAGTGACATCATGTCATGTGCTGGGGTGAGATATCTGTCATGTGAACAGGGAAAAGGTTTCTCTAATTAGCGCTAATCGTAGCACAGGCTGGAGGTTCGTGTGCCACATTCCTGTTAGAAGGAAAACCAGGTGTGCTGGGGCACTGGGAGCTGCCAAATTTAGAGAAATGCCAATTTGAAAGGTGAGGTCCAGTGTGGAACATCAATATTTTTTTTTCTTTCCTACTCAGAATAAAGGTTGTCAGTGAAATCAGCGGTAAAAATGTTGATTGTGGTGTCAACCCTTAAAATCAGTGTTCTGGGAGGAGGGCAGGCAGACGGGAATGTGCTCTCTGGGCCAGTGTCAGCAAGTCTAGACCACTGCCAGAGCCACTCCTTAATTCTGCCCCTGTTTCAGTGCACTAAACTGGGGAGGTGCCTTGGAAACTCCTTCATTAATCACTTCACCGACTGTTTAGACCCAACTAAAAAGCAGCTCAGCTTCTATGAAGGTGAAAGAGAAACACAGACCGATTTTTGCTAAGATTAGGGTCTCCCAAGAGAAGATTTCCACCCAAAACAGACCTGTTATTTTGGATTTCCACAGGAATGTCTTTCTCCCCCTCAGTCCTCTGCCTTTTCCCTGCTGCAGGTGTAGGGAATGCTTTTTCCAGCTGAATATTTCCAATTATTCACCAAAGCAAGGCACTGAGGGTGCTGGTGTGGGGGGAAGCAGAACACAGGCTATAGACAAGGCTGGATCCACTGGTGTTGGGATAGCCTTGATAAAATAAATCTGAAACCACAAGAACTTGCACCCTTTTGTTCCAGGCCAAGAGGAAATGGCTCTTTTGGACCTTTTCAACTGAGCTGAGGCTTTTAGATCAGTGTTGGCCACTGCTGCAAGTGGATCAGGAAATTTGGGGAGGGGGGTGGGGGGCTGATTATACAGTTTGGATGAGCTCAGCCCCTCCTGTCCCTCCCTTTTACCCTGGAGGTGAAAGCTTCCTCAGCCAGGGAGATGCATTTAGAGCAGCCAGTCAACGCTGTCTAAGGGGGATGAGTTAAAAAAAAGCATTCAGGACGTGGCTTTTCCTTTATTCTCCATTGCAGGAGTTGATATTTCTGGCCATGCAGTGGCCTGTGTGAGCAGCAGCACCCGCCCCCAGCTCCCAGCTGGTTAATCCTGCCAGCACATCAGCACCAACCCATCCAATGTGTTCATGTGCCAGTGCTTCAGGTCTGAGAGCTGCACGCCCGATTATGAGGTGATTCATTGCCCCACAGAAATGAATTCCTCCAAGTCTTCCTCTGGAAAGGACTTGCCCATCAGAATCCGTGTGTGGGGGCGTCAGGAACACCCTGGATCCCCAGGACGAGGCAGCTCTGAGGTCACATCTTTGCCACTGCAGACCTGTGGAAGAATGGTCTGCTCTGGTGTCAGCTCAGTGCTGAAATATTCCACCTTGGGCAGGCAAGAGAACCTCTTGGAATGTGCCAGCCTGTTCCTGCTGAGTCCTGGCCGTGCAGCTGGGGCAGCTCCTGGATCATTTTAGTGCCAAAGGAAGAAGATCCTGTTTGGGGTATTGCCCTGTGTTCTCAGGCACAGGGATTCCTTTGTTTCTTTTGGCTAATGGAGCTTCAAAGTGGCCCACCCTGGATGCTCTGTTTGCTCAAGGCCAAGCCTGGCTTTGTCCCCAAAGCTGGGATGAAGAGAGGAGGGGCAGATGAGCAGGGTCCCTCAGTTTGGAGTGGTTTCTGACACGGTGATGATGGAGACATGACAAGTACCAAAGGGCATGGGGGGCATTTGGCCTGGTAAAACAACACACCCAAAACCCAGGGCATCACTGAGGGACTCACACCATCAGTGCAGAGCAGAGAGGGGCTGAGAAACAGCTTCTGCATTTCCACAGCAGGATTTCCCAATCACTGCTTATGCCACCTGGGCCACTCCTATTCATACCCACCTGGATTTCTCCTACATTTCAAGCCCCACCTTGGAGGTCTGGGTACCTCACTCTGACAACAAAGCTCACCCAGGGCTGTGCAACAGGTTTACAATTCAATTTTTTTTTCTAACTCCCTGCCCCTTTGGAAGGAGATGAGGAGCACTGCAAGGGTTTGAAAGCCAGGGAGATGTGGCAATAGCTGCTAGGAGGGAATCAGCAGTGGGGGCTTGGCTTCCTTCTGCTTTTCCTAAGCACTTTGGATCTAGTGCTTAGATAAACACCATCTACTTCTTGGTGCTGCAAGACTGGGTAAGGATGTAAAACACACAGATTTACAAACTATCTCAATAGTACAGAGATGCAATTAAGAGTCAAGCGTGGCCTGTGTGGCCTGCTCCCTGGGTTTGGTTTGGGATTGCAGTAGCAGAGTTGTCCAGCTGTGTTTGGAAAGCAGCGCAATAACAGATCACACTTCTGGCTCCCTGCTCGTGCTGCTGACTTAGGGGAGGAGGGCTTGAACCCAAGGCTGGAAGCAGTGGGAATGCTGGTGCTTTCTGCAAGGCTGGCTCTGCTTTGCTTAACCCAGGTCATGGAGTTGGGCGTCAAAGTTTCCCTTAAGCTCAGGAGCTCTGTGTGCCTCACCAGTGGGTTTCAAGTGCCACATCCCTCTTGGACCCCATAAGCAGCTTCTGGAATCAACCTTCTCACTGCAGTTAATTCTTAGGTGTTCCTTGCACTAAAGAGTAGATGGGAAATTATCTGCAGTGCATTTGTTCTCTTCACTAGGCATGGAATATACTTATTCCTCTCTTGAGTCCAAAGTGGGTTTGGAAGCCTTTTTGCCTGAGGATATTGGGTAGATTTTCCAGAGAAATATGCCCAAGCTGTGGTTGATGTTGTTGTTTGTGTTGTCCAGTTGCCTCTGACCTTGCCCAGCTCAGAGCTGGCTTTCCCTGTAGGAGTTTCCCTGTGTCTCTTCAGGCTGCAGGGCTAAGAAGGCTTTGCATTTTTGGGTGGATAATCAGTAAATCACTGAGTTTGCCAGACTTTTTCCCCCTTCCTCTTTACTTCTTTATGGACCTGTTGCTCTACTGAAACCTCAACCATTTAGGAGGCAGATGAAGCCACAAGTTGTTACCTGGACTCTGTATTTTTACCCTTTATTTAAGCAAACTTGGACCCCTGAAATCGTGAAACGAGGAAAACAACCTGGGTTATGTTTTTTTTAGTAATCCAACCAACCTTTCCACTCCCTGGGATGGGGTTTGGTAACCTTTTACAAATGGGGCAAGAGAGCTCTGGGGAGGATCTTGCAAGACTCACACCAGGGAATATTTGTTGATTCCTGCCTCCCAAGAGGCTGGAATTTCATGCTGGTCCCCCTGGGGTGCCA